CTTGTCTGCGCAGGACGGCTTCCTATTGTCCACTCTAAAAAATTATACTAAATGTGCCAAACTACTTTCCACCACTTAAGTTGTGTTTACGCTAGAATACTTTTGCTAAAATGTCCCCACTGTTTCAGCCCCACTGAGTAGCCCATAGAGCTAGCTTAGCCTTATTATACGAAGTTGTAATGCAAGAAACTAACAGGCCTGTGTACTGTAAGATATTCACTTAAGCAAGTTAGTGAAAGTATTGTCAAATATAGTAGGCCTGTGACCCTGGGCATAGATAAATGGCCTGACATTTATTCTTAGATTTTTAGGGAATTAGGAATAGCTTGCTCAATAGCAGAAGTTGGAACCTAATGGTACCCAGTAACCATAGGGACACAGAAGCGATACTGAGCTGGGATATTTTAGGATACAATCATTAGACATCTAAACACAAATTTGCTTGAGCAAGAGGTGATGTATAAAATAATGAGTCAAAAGGTATGAATATGTATTAATATGCTAACCTGTAGGATAAGTGAACCCCACTATTTTGAGGGTGAGGAAATTAGATTTGGAGATGGATGGCTGAGCATTAGAACGAATATTCATGCTAGTGATCAGGCCCTATCATTAGAGCCTTGCGCAGATACATATTCATAGCCGCAGATATCTGCAGATATAAATGGGCATCGATGGAACTGCAGGGCTCTCCTGGGAACCGCAGCGGCGAAAGGAGCAGAATGTGGGGCCACCACTCCCAGGAGCCAGTGCCCTGCACAGGCAGCTCCTCCAGCGTGGCTGTACTCCCCCCAGCGCCGCCCACTGGGGCGGGCACAAGGCTCACCGGCAGCTGTCCCTGGTCACGCTCTTGTGTTCAAACAGTGCGCATGCCCCCAGACAGGAGATGCAGACAGTTGCATGGAAGGGACGGGGGCAGTACAGCTGCGCTGGAGGAGCTGCTGGAGCGAGGCACTGGCTCTTGGAAGTGCCTCCTTTCGTTGCTGTCGTTCTCGGGAGAGCCCTGCGGTTCCACAAATACCAATTTATATCCGTGGATTCCGCATCCGAGGGTATAAATTTGTATCCGTGCAGGGCTCCAACTATAATAGGGCAAACCACCATGTGGAGGGAGTTAGCTTTCCATCATTTGACTCTTCATCTGAGGAACCTGGACCATTGGACTCATTTGGCATGCCATAGACAGGGCTGGTCCTTTGTCTCTTACCATTAGTTCCTCAAGGAAGGGTATAAGTATTCAAATCTAAGAGCATTTGAAAAGAATGGTACCACAAATATTCCCAATACTGTATTATTCCTATCTATGTGCCTCAGAGCTTTTCTAGCTTTATTATTGATCCTCATAAAAATCTTTAAGGCTTTACTTTGCCCTCAAGGTGTCTGGTAAGGACACTCACACTGAGGTTCCCTACAAGATATCAAACTGGTTGGTTTAGTTCTGTGTAGCCTGATTGATTCTGGGACAGGAGCCCTATTACCCTCAGCTCATTAATCAGATCAACTGGCAACCAATCCAAGCATTATTAATAATTGAAAAGGAGCAGACAACAACTGGTGTTAGTAATAGTGATGACACTAGTGTAGACAGAGCATGATACAGGCATCAGCATTTTAAGCACATGTTGTCTAACAGAGCTAAATGACATATGGTTTAAAATGAGAGCTGGTCAGAAATTTTCTGGAACATTTTCTGTCAGAAAAAAATGCCAATTTGCCAAAAGTGAATTTGTGTAGATTTGTGTAGATTTCAACAAAATTTCACTTAAAAAAAAAAAAAACAAAAAAAACCAATGGGACATTCCAATAAATTTCCAGTTTTTCATTTTGAAAAGATTTTACTGTTTCAAGTTTTTTAATACAAGTGAAAATTAAGACAAAACATTTCAAATGATCTAAAAATGAACTTTTCAAAATGTTGTTTCCTGGGAGATTTCAAATTTTTTTATTATTCTATTTCAAAACAGAAAAATTTCAGAATTTCCCATGAAACAGGAAGTGAGGTTCCTGCCCAACTTTACTTAAAACGCTGGAAATTGAGGGCAGCTTTGCGTACATTGTCACCCCCGGTGGAGCTCAAACACAAGGAACAACTATAAGACGTTTTAGCAAAAGTTTCCTACTGTAAGACCTTGATCAGTGGAATAATCTCAAGGTAATGAATTTCACTGGAGCGGATCCATTTTAGACTGGGAACTGTGGGCTTCATTGTGCACTGCTGCAACAGGGCTCCTGGAAGCACTTTGTCTTAATCAGATAGTGTCAGAGCTGGCCAGGAAACCAAATTTTAGTTCTGCAAAAAATTTTGTATTTTAAAAAATATTTTTCATTTCAAATGAGAATGAAAAGCCAACTACTCAAAAGTTTTCACAGAACTGAAATCCCACAGAATTTCATTTTGCAAATGGAGCTATGGAGGCTGGAAGCCACTCATTGACATTGACACAATCCTTGTCAGTTTCATACTAAAAAGAAAAGGAGTACTTGTGGCACCTTAGAGACTAACCAACTAACACGGCTGTTCCTCTGAAAAGTTTCATACTAGTCACTGCTGAATTGCAACCGTGAAATAGACCAGATTTATTGTCAGGTGAACATGAGACTAGTCACTTTTACACCTGCTATTCAGTGGTGAGCAGCCACGAGATGGACAAGAATCAAGGCCATTGTTTCAAGCTCTCACAGCTCCCCAATTCTTTCTCTGCCTGGGGAGCTCTGTTTGTCCCTCTCCAACCTTTGGGCCCCTCTAGTAAGAAACACCCCACCAGGTCTTTTCCTAACACCAGTCCCTGGGCTCAAATTCCTCTTTCCTTTGGGATAACATCACCATAGCCCTCCTTCTTGGGGCTGTGTCTGAACTGTCAGGCTCCCCAATCCCATCATCATGCAGTCCTACCCCAAGGTAACCTCTCTAGGTTCCTCCTAACTGACCTAACAGCACTACTTTTTAATCCACATCAGATGATCACATGCCTCAGGCATCAGTGTCCTATTCCCACTTTGGTCTCATGATCCTCCCCAAAATACCTTTTCTTAAAGGGGCCATGACTTGGAACAGAGTTGGCTGACCCCGGGTCCCCTTTGCCCTTAAAAGGAACAGACTCTCTACATAGACACCTCTCTACCTGCCCTGTCTCTCTTCCGGTGCATTCCTACACAATCAAACCGTACTTTACACAGGGTTGTTATAAGAAATCCCTGTTTGTATTACATTAACAAGGAATTAGCAGATGGGCCAGAGTTAAGGTTTCCAACTTTAATCCTGCATTTCCTCTCCTCTGGAGGTCTGATTTCCCAGTTTCAGCAAGGCATTTATGCTAGTTTTGTGTGCACAATTTCCTTGTGGCTTTATTTTGAAAGAAAAAAAATATTGGCAATGGGATATGTAGTATGATCTTGAACTATTTGACTTGATGTCTACTGAAAATGGCTGCACTTGAACAAGGCCTCTCAAAACCAGCAGGGAGCTGCTGAACCTGAGCAACCAGTACCTGCCCAGACACACACTACTCACAGCAGTAGCAGCTCATTCACAGAAGCCCAGCAGCTATGTTATAAATCCAATGGCAATTTGAGCACTACAACTCAGAGGGAAGAGAAGCAAGTAAGCCTCCCCCGGGCCCTTTCCCAACACAATTATCACTATCTCTGTACAGTGATTCTGGCTAGGACAGCAGGAATCAGAAAACCATGGGAAAAGACTTTTTGTGTGCTATTTCTAGCCAGGCTAAAGCTGTAGTAAATACTGGAAATCCTGCCAGGGCTTGATCTTTCAAGGTTTTCAGACCAAAAAGATTTTAGAAAAGCTTCAGATAGGCATCAAACTTTATGCTGTTGATCTGAACCACCAAATTTTGTGTGGTTCACCCATTGCTACAGAAGGGTCTAAAAGGAAATTAAACATCCAAAAGAAATAAGCCCTAAACAACACTGAAAACAAAACCAAAAGGTAGGTAACAAGGAAATTAGTGCAAAGACAAAAGGCCCTTCAACTAATCATCTCTGTGTGGGATGGTACATACCCTAAGAACTGAGGGTGGTTATCCCACCTCTAGGAAGAAGGAGGGAGAAATTGGGTAATATTCCCCTCATCTTTACCACATGAAGAACGCTCTGTGGGCACAGGGCTGGAGAAAGGAACAGAAAATAGGTGGACCTGAGTGGATCCCCCTCCCCCAGTATAGCCCTGCAAAGATTACTGAGAAAATACAAATTGGGACCGTATTATCTTTTTCCCAGGGGCAGCTGCAGGCAAGGCCCTGATAACATAGCTACGGTGGTGGTGTGCTGCCAGGGATGGGGCACAGGATTCCACTGGGGGCTCAAGCAGCTGTGGAGGTACAGGTTATCCACATGGATGACTCTGATGTCTCACAGATCCCCAGGAATCCTTCAGATTTGTGGGTGGATCCTGCAACCTGTACCACAGCGGATAAGCTCACTCCCCTAATGAAACAACCAGAGGGAAGGATCTCTGCAAGAGGATCCGGAGAGAAATTTCCTCCCTCTGAGTCCCTTTCTGTATTTTTTTTCTGCCAGAGGGGGCAGTCGGGCTCATGAGAACTAGAACTAAGCCTAGTAGTAACTCTTCCATGTTTCTCTGTAAGTTGCTTAAAATACTTTGACATTCATGATATAATAACTAACATCCAAATTTTAAAATACATACTGTATATTAAACTTTAAACAAATTGTGAGCAAACAGTACAGCAATTATGCCCTTTGCAGGTTTCTGAATATCACATTACCTTTTTGGCAGCAGCCACAGCCATATGATGCATACTACTGTTTAATGATAATGAAGCTTGCAGCCCTTTATTTAAAAAGCCGAATCATCATGCTGAACTTTTACATTTGTAGACATGTCTATCTTATTTTTTGCTAGTAAAACATTGGTTCCCATAATAATCCTTATCCTTGCTCCCTTTAAGAAATTTTTACCCCCAGCCTGTCTCCCACAAAACATATAAAGAACATTTCTAGAGACTCTAAGTAATACGTACGTGTCTAGCTTTTGAAACTCCAAGTCAAGCAAGTCAAAGGCCCTTGTGATCATGTCCATTGCTTGGTTACGCACAGAAATGAAATCTCTGAGTTGAGCTGCCTGTGTAGAAAGTCATAAGGTAACACAGCTTGAGATACCATAAAGAATCACAGAAGAAGAGAAGGCATTTAATGATTATTAGCATCTCCCCTTAAACCTACAATGGTCTAAGTCATCTATGAGTTTTCCCATCAAGACCCACTGTTCTATCTACCAGTTTTTCCCTTGGTGATGATAAGAGATGATAGATTTCACTACAACACAGACCCACGTTGATCATTATTTCATAGGGGGATGCCAGTTGTGATTTTTGGTTTACTCTAGTAATTTATTTGCACATTTTTCCACCTTGTCTCTCCTCAGCAGTGATTTTTACCTTTTCTGTTCTAAACAACACATTTGTTTTGCTATGAATTTTCCTCATTTAATCCTGTTGAAAGCATTAGTTATTAAGTTCCAGTCTCTCCAGGAGAGTGGCCTGCACATGTTGGCTTCTACCACTGGTCTCAGAGACAGGGTTGAAATTCTTCTGAAGGCTGATCTCAAATCATCTGCAGGGGGGATGGAATCCTACACTGAAATTATTAATAGTAATAAAATAATTCATCCATTCTGCAAATACTCTGTAGTATAATGTTTAGTAATTGAAATTAATTCCTTTATTGAGCAACGTATTTACTTAGCAATTAAATCAATAATTAAATATTTTACTACATAAGTTATTTATTTGCTAAGTAATGGTGTTATTGGGTAATCTGGGAAATCTTTATATGCAAGTGATTCAAGGAACATGTGACCCATTTAAATTGTTCCCAACAGCAAATAGTTTATATAGTAATTGTATTGTAGCAATAATTTTCAAATGATATCCCCAAAAGCAGGTTGCATATGGAGCTGGCATACTCAATTTTTTCCATGTGATACCATAAGAAATACATAAAATTGACCTGAATGGCCTGTACCAAATTAAAAGAGTCTATTAGCCCATAATTTGAAAATAACTGCTAAAATTACTATGCAAGGTACAGTGATAATGAAGGAGCAATTTAGGCCCTAATTCAGCCACCCAGCCCTATTCAGCAAAGTGTTTAAGCATGTATTTAAAAGCTTTACTGAACTGGGACCTTACAGAGCCCTCCCCCTCCCCCCAAATAACCCCAACTCAAAACCTTAGAACCAAAAGAGATGACTCAGAGTGGAGGCCATTAATCTGATACACCTGTCAGGTGGGAAAGATGAGATATATTATGTCCCCCCTGAGAACTTTCTCTCCAGTTTATTTATTTAATTAATGGCTAGCTCAGTGGTTTGAGCATTGGCCTGCTAAACCCAGGGTTGTGAGTTCAATCCTTGGAGGGGGCCATTTAGTGATCTGGGGCAAAAATTGGGGATTGGTCCTGCTTTGAGCAGGGTGTTGGACTAGATGACCTCCTGAGGTCCCTTCCAACCCTGATATTCTATAATTCTACTCCAACTGGAGATAGTCGAACACTTTAAGCAGCTTCCGCCAAAAAAGAAAATGTTCAGTGTTTAACCCCCATGTCTGCTAAGTCAAAGGAGAAAGGAAGAGAAACCTCTTTCAGAATTAACAAAATGATTAAAATAGGATCTGGTTCTGTAGATCCCTTTTTCTTACTTTCATGCTTAGTATAAACAAAGCCAGGCAGAAGCCCTTGGCCTTGCTGCACAGGAGGGAGAGTACTTCCTCTGTTGCTCCATCTCCCTCTCCTTACCGAATGTGGATGCTTCTTAGGGTTGCCATCCCTCCGGCATTGCCCTGGAGTCTCCAGGAATTAAAGATTAATCTTTAATCAAAGATCATGTCCTGAGATGAAACCTCCAGGAATATGGCCAACCAAATTGGCAACCCTAATGCTTCTCTGCTGCAGCTCTGCATCATGGATGGAATACTGCTGAGTTTATGGTACAAGACAAAGAAGTAGAAGAGGGGAAGTGTTGCTTTCTGAGGCACTGCAAACTGCCTTGCAGACAGCTAGGTGAAAGCACTATAGCTGAGAGCCATCTTGCTTCCCTCTGAGTCACCTCCACTACCGGATTTACCATGGCACCACTAGCGCAATGGCGCCGGGTCCACGCTCCAGAGGGGCCCCGGCCCAGCCCACTCTTCTCCACCCCTGCTCTCTCCTGAGGGGGCAGCGGCAGAAGCTTTTTGATTTAAATTGGATTTTTGAGGAAAAAATCTATAAATATCTGCTTCAATTATCTTTGGTAAATGAAATAACCAAACAATCATTCATTTTCTGATATAGCTATAAAACTCATCTGAAAAGTTTTCAAAATAAATCACTGTTTAAAAATAGAGTGTGTACCTTCTAAAAATGAAACCTACATCTATCTCAATGTAGGTTTTATATCTATCTCTGAGCTGTGAAGAATATGTATTAAGGTCATAACAACCAACAAGAATGCACTTTTATGTAGAAAACCATTATTAAGTTGAGTCTTCCTGACCAAATCCACCCTCAGCGCTGTGCTCTTGCCCCTGGCCCCTTCATTCCCCCGGGGGCCCCTCAAATATGTTTGGCGCCAGGCCCACAAAAAGTTAATCTGGCCCTGCTCACCTCTGCAGCAGTTACTGAGCTGCCAAGGGAGACCCCAGCCAATAACTTCAGAAATTATGTTGCGGGGGACGGGGGTGGGGGTGGGGGAGGGCTAGAAGAAGCAGCAATGCAGCAGTCACCCCTGTAAGACAATTCCTGTTCTCAGTACAAATCCATAAGGGCTGGTTCAAGAAAATCTCTGCCAGGGTCACCTCATGGAGTTCCCCTCCCTCTTCGGCATTCCAGTCAGAGTGTGTGTGAGAGAAAGATCTGGCCCTTAAAATGTTTATTTCTGTGACTTTTTTCCCTCCAAGTGGAAGGATCTATGTAAAATCCACACTAAAAAACCAACCAACAAAGCCCCCAGGCAAACAGGAATAATTTTTCTTCCACAAAGCCATTTTGTCATTATCCAGAGGCACAATAAGGTACAACATCATGCCTAAGAGATTCAGGACACTTGCTTTAGCTTTGTTCCTCACAAGGCACCTGAGGGGTAATGTTGTACAGCATGAAGCACATCCTGTCATGTCTTACTGCTTAACTTTCAGGTGAATGCGCATTTCCTAAGTGTTCTGGATAAAACCACAGCTCCAATGTTACACAAAGAAACAAACCTCCTTAGATCTAGTGAACCTGAGGTGAGATACTTACTGGGATTGCAGGTGGGGACTCCATTCTGGCAGATAAAGGCGATGCCATTAATTCATATTTCACTTTGGGTATTTTGGTGGGAGTAAACCTACACACACACACACAAAATTATGGTATTGATAAAGAGCCTGAAACTAAACACTTTTCTAAACAAATACAAATGGCTGCAAAGGAAATTAATTCTCTTTTTCTCTTCGTTGTTCTGGAAGTTATTTGAGGTCAGGTACTAGAATATTAATTTAGTTCAAGGGGACAAAGCTGTTAAGCATAGAGCTATATGCTACAGTTGGCTGAATTAAATAATACATTTCCAAAACAGTAGCAATATTTGAGAACTCAATCTTTCAGCATTAGTGTCATCTTTGACTCTTCTATTTTTCTCTCCCCATATCCAGTATCTTCCTATTTGATATCCTCAATCTACTATTTCAGGTCCTCCCTCCTTAAGTCTTAAGGAGGTAAATGAATATCACTGGCATCCTTGCTGAGAAGACAGATAAGTGACTTTGCCCACATGGAGACTAGGGTGGCAAAAGATGTTCTCTGAGAGTATGTCTACATTTCTGGCTTTCTGTGTGTCAAATTGCTAGTCATTGCCTCCAATGTCCCTATCATCCACACTCAAATCCCTGAGATGTGTGTTCAAAGGTGTGTAGAAATGGAGTTGGCAAACCTGTCTGGGGGCCTGGGTAAGGTTGCACATTGACACATGACCCACCTCTCTACCTGCTCACTGTGTGGTGTGGTCATAGCTATGACATGGTGACCTGTCCTCGAGTCTACTTACTCTTTCACCGTCATTCACACAATTCCCTGTTCTTCTATGGAGAAGGATGTTATGTTCTGGGAACAGGTTTGTTTATCCTGAGTGGAGGGCAGTACACAAGAAACTCTCACCAGGCACCTTCCCTCTCTCCAGACCCCCTTGCTCCAGCTGCCACCACCACCATGTGGTATCCAAGATGGATGCCAAGCTGAGAAAAGTTTATTTTTGAACACTCTGTTATTGTTTATAGTGGTCAGAAGGAGGTACATAAGAGACTCCCATAGGGCATCCACCCTGTCCTCAGATTTCCCTCCTCACCTGGCTGACACCACATGGTATCCAAGATGGATGCATGTGGTCCTACCACACTATGCTAGTTGTCCTGCACCAGAAATGTCAGTCTATACATGGAAAATAAGCACCAATTGTGGCATTCATTAGCTGTGTCCAGTCTGCTGTGAATGAACCCTCTTCCAAGTTTAGCTGCTTTCTTTGTCTCAGAAAGTGCTCCTGAAATGCCATCCAGTGTCTTGCTGAACGTCTGCTCTGCTACATAAACCATTAATATGCAAACAGAAGCAGCTGATCAGCTGGTCCCCAGGCTCTTCCCGGGATGGATTGGACAGAAGTGAACAGCATTCACGACTTGCAAGTGCCTCACAAAAAAACAGCATTTAAAATGTGGTACGCTGAAAGCACCTCTGCACAGGGGTCTCCCACAAACCAATACTAGGGCTGCTCCAGATGGTGAGGACACTCAGGACTATGAAATGTCATGTAGCTAAACTGTTGGTATGGACATAGCCACATGGGGTATGGTGTCTGTGCAGCTCTGCAGTGTGGACTCTGGTGGTGGGCTTAGCTAATACACAGATGCATGCATGCGAGCCAGGACTTGGGTACATGCCCAGTGTAGACATAGCCTCAGATACAGCAGAGAATGAGAGGAGTAAAGGCAGGCAGCCTTTGTATTAATGGTCCAGAATAATAGGACCCACATCTGATTATCAGCCTATTCCTTTATCCCAATGAAATGCTGTTCTCTGGGTAGCAAGGGAATTGATTTACCTAGTTGGGCCATCGGCCATTGTATTTGTCACTGAAATGTGGGCAATTATTAGTGATGAGCCAGATTAAAAAAATCAACTAATCACATATTTATGATGATTTATACACAGAAAATACTTTGTACTGCATGGAGAGGCCAGCTCAGTCAAAGGCAGAGCCAATATGAAAAACATCACAAATATTCAATCTTCCCTGCCTTTTCCCATCGAGGGAAAGAAAGCAAAGAAACAAAAATATAAAGAATACCTGCTGCTTACTCCATGGATTCCAAATTCTGAGAGAATCTCCTTCATTACTGAAATTAACACACCAATTTGCTGTTAGTCCATTAACACATTTTATGAACAAGGAGTGATAGATCAGAACCATTATGGGATCTTTCTATCATATTCATAATGTATTTTGGCCAAGACCATATAATTACAATAACATGTGTGTAGCTTTTTTAACTGCTATGAATTTATCTGCAAGACAAGTTTTGAAGTGATAAAACATTAGCACAGCAAGTCACACACTCAAGATCATTTGGAAGCTTCAGCTGATACAGAATGTGGCTGCCAGCTTGCCACAGTGGCAATGCGGTATGCTGCCTGGAACATATTATACAAGACTCCAAAGACTATCCCTATTCACTTTTAGATGCAGCTTAAGGTATTGATATTGAACTCTTCAGGACATGGACTATGTCCACATCTTGGTTTGTATAAGGCCTCGCATAATAGGACCCTGATCCTCTTTGGGGCTTTTGGGTACTACTGTTATATAAATATTGAATAAGAGTAAACCCCTATATTACTTGGATTCTAGCTACCTCAGGAATTGCATCTCTGTACCAGCATGATGGACTGAGATCAGCTGAGATGGGCTCTTGCTTCTCTCTCACTCCAACTCTTCATTTTCTTTTCTTGCATTTCATTACACAACACTTGGAAACATCTGTACCTCAGCATACATGCAAGATGGGCCTTGGTGAACATGCACATGTCCCAGACTCTTAGGGCACTTGTTATAGTCCTTGAGACTTTTAAAACTGTGAGCTGCAGTGGCAGGGCACATGACTAATACCAAATATGTAACCTACCGGAAGGCAGATATAATGCTTCCCGCTTTTTAGGGTATGTCTACAGTGCAATTAGACACCTGCGGCTGGCCTGTGCCAGCTGACTTGGGCTCCCGGGGCTCAGGCTGCAGGGCTGTTTCTTTGCAGTGCAGACTTCCGGGCTCGGTCTGCAGCCTGGGCTCTAGGACCCTGCCAGGTGGAGTTCCCAGAGCTTGGGCTGCTGCCTGAGCCAAGAAGTCTACACAGCAATGAAACAGCCCTGCAGCCCGCGTCAGTGGGCATGGGCCAGCTGCAGGTTTTTATTTGCAGTGTGGACATACCCTTAGACAAGGACAGCAGACAGGTTTGAAAATAAAACCAGCCCTTAGGAAGGGTCTTGGCCTAAATTGTTGTTGGGAGCTTAATTATACCTTCCCCAGCCAGAGAATATGCCCAGTGGCTTACAGCCTTATTTGTTGCAGCTTTCTTCCAACTTCCTGACACTGCCAGGCTTTATTACTAACTTGAGTCCCAGAATGCAGCGAGCATGAGATTTCAGTTGTTCCCTGACTTGAGAAGCACACATTGTGCATTCTTGGGTGAAAGCACAGGAAATGCCACCGTGTCATGAAGTATGAAGAGAAATGCATCACTTAGACCTCAGGGTCCTGCCACCTAGCTACTGCCTCCAGTGGGAAGATAGAGGCCCACACCTCAAATTAGATCCTGCTGCTAGTTGAGGGGAGATGGGGCTTCTTGGAGGAGGGACTGTGTTGTAGAGAAACGGACAATTGGGGACTGTCCAAGGGATACTGGAAAAGCTTCAGAGCTTTGAATGAAAACAAAAATTTGTAATGTTGAACTAAATCCTGTCCCTGATGAGAATTACCTATTGCTAATTATAAAGAGGGACAGTGAGGATGTATGCAGCTGAAATGGTCACCAGTCACACAGTGTACAAGTGAAGCTGGAGCACATTACTAGGCTGACACCCACAAAGTGGGTTAGTGTGATGACATCTTGTGGTAATTGTGAAAACAACACTACTCGCTCCGTAACATGCTGTCAAGTTTGGAAATATGGTAGACACATATTGCTGGGAAGCTGGTAATTAAGACCCCTAATTCACAAAATAAGCACTGTAGGCATTAAAGATTCACACCACTTTTTATGGATGAAAATCATGTATTCTCTCAGATATTTTAAAATAGCTTTTAGTAACATCATGAATTAAAATCAATTCAGCATTATTAGTTATTCAAATCCACTGATCATGTTTGTGTGTTTATGTCCAGAATACTAATATAACTATATGTATGTGCATTTCATTTTTGGTGTCCACTGTAGGAGTATTACAACTTGGAGGTACTTACTGTTAAAGATATTTTGCATGCTAATGAAATTATTTCCTGCCTTATCCATATGCTCTGGATTGATGATAGCCAGTAGTCAGAGGAATGATAGTAAAAATGATAAAAGTATCAAACTTTATTAAAATGAAATTCCACTCATACGTTGGACACAAAGTTTAGCAAACAGAGAACAGGACGTACAAAGGCACCATTTATCAGAACTGATTTTTTCTTTCGACTGATTTAACAAAGCTTATCACAAGGAGGCAATAATAACTTTGAGTTACTCCCTGTGGTCTTTTCTCAGAGAAGAGGTTCCGAATGAAAGAGCTACACAGAATAGTAAATTACTCTTATTTGCTCTTAACTTCAACCCTTTATTATTTTAGGACAATCTTGACCTATTAAAAATTGTTTGTTTCATCTCTAGGTATTGCAAGCACTGTGATCACATTAGCACAACTTTATGTGAAAATGACATTTCTTCCAGCTTTATAGCTTTACTCCTATCTCATCCACCCCATACACCATTCCATTGTGCTGCTCTTTTAAGTGGCTATTCCACTGAAATAAATCAAGCGTTACAGTACATATCAAAATCACACAAAGCATTTTCTCCTCATATGTACTGTACTGTGTCTGGTATGCTCAATGCACCTGGTAAAAGCGTGTGCAGTGGCAGGTGGATGGCGCTATGCAGTGTGGCCAAGGGATTCAATTCAGCAAAGCATTTAATGACGTACTTAAAGTTAAGCACATGCATAAATTCCATTTACTTCAATAGATTAAAAGGTGCTTAAACACCTTGCTGAACTGGGGACTTAGATTATTATTTGTGGAGTCTTCTCATTATACTCAGTACTATCTGAAACACTGAGGAAAACAGTACTTGTAACCACTGTAATCAAGCGCTTATATTAACTGTTAGACAGTCTGTTACGCTTGGCAATGTTTTGTGTAGTCAGCAATAGGCCAAGGTTGGTTGAAGGGCCATTTTAGAGTCTTTTCTAGAACTTCTCCTGATTGATTTGGGGCTTTTGTGCAAGAAGAAAAATCCCACCTGTAAGTGACACCAAGATCATGTGGTAGGATTGCCTTAGGGCTAGTGCCCGTGCTCCTTTTGTTATGAGATACTGTGATCATTTTACTCAGACATTTAAAAGAAACACATTTCAGATGAACTATTACTTACTGTGGCAGCGTGATGAGAACCAGCAGCTGAACCAGCATTCTGGTCAATTTAAGTCCAATTAGTTTCCCCAAGGAAGACCTGACTGATGGAAGCCATGGAGGATAGGTCCATCAATGGCTATTAGCCAGGATGGATAAGGATGGTGTCCCTAGCCTCTGTTTGTCTGAACCTGGGAATGGGTGACAGGGGATGGATCACTTGGTGATTACTTGTTCTGTTCATTCACTCTGTAGCACCTGCATTGGCCACTGTCGGAAGACAGGATACTGGGCTAGATGGACCTTTGTCAGAGTTTACAAACCAGAGTTGTTACAGCCATTTGAACAAGATGACAAAAGTGAGCAGAGGGCCGCACCCTGTCACACTTACAATATTTTAGTTGGATCTATGACTACAACTAGCTGATATCACCATTATTCTTATTTTAAAAAGGCTAAAAGTAAGAGTTTAACTTTATACCATGTGTGAAGTGACATTAGGAATAACCCAATAGGTGGAAAACCAATCCTATGGTATTAAGGGACTAAGTACATTTTAGTATACTATTTTACAGTGTAAAATAAGGTAATACCTGAGCATGTAATCCTACCAGGTGATGAGAGCTCTTAACTCACTAAAGTTAACTGAAAGTTATTTTCTTCAGAAAATATGCACACTCCTATTTGATCTTCAAGTCAATGAATGTCAAAGGAGTTCAGTTCCTCGCAGGTGGCACTCAGCACCTCAGAGGACTGGGCCCTATAAGACTACATAGAGTGTATGTTTTCCAGAGATCATGACTGTCAGTTTAGGTGATGTATTAAACAGCATTTTAAGGAGTGAACAGCAGCTCTGGAAGCCTATGTTAAACAAACATAATAGTACTGTCTTTCTGTAGGCATATTATCACAGAATTTGGCATAAGATGGGAGTGGGAAAGGACAGAGACATGAAGAATTGGCTTCAAATTAACTGTAAGTTTAGAATTTACCACATGCATAGTAAACTTACTTGGTTGTCTATCTGAAGGGTTTATCAATTTCATCCCCATTATATCATTGAGTTCTTCTTCCTCATTCATGCCACCAAAGATATAGAGCTGGGAACAATGAAAAAGCAAGCAACGTCAGTAGCAAACCAATATAATGACAGGGTTACATAATCACATTAATGTATCAGTTAATGTTTGCAGAGGCCCTTTAGTATAGTACATTCTGTATTTACGGTTCCTGGTGCTCACTTCAATCAAACACAGTAAAACTCTTCTTGAAGAAAACTGTATAATTCCATTAAATGGAAAATGCCTGATTGTGTCACTGCCTGGGATCCCCGCACAGAAGACTCTGACATAATCTGCCCGCCCTGCCCAAGGGAGGAGAGGAACTGCTCAGCCTGGTCTATGCAGGACCTTGCAGAAGTTGCTCCCTAATTCCCTCTAGAGAAGATGTTTCCAATCTCACTGCCCCTCTGAAAGAAGAGGAGCAGCTCATCCCAGAGAGTGACTTTATGCTCAGTTTGGGACTTCCAGTAGTTCAGAAGAGAGCCTCCTTAGCTGTTCCCACAGTCCTTGTGTCAGCACGGGAAGAAGACCCACTACCATCTAATCTCATGGAGGAACAGTCCTGATTAATTTCTGTTGCTCATTCCAATCAACACTGTTGGGTGGAGAGTGTTAAATAAATAAAATAAACACAAAAACCCTTTTTGGTTTATATTTACTACCTGAAAAAGAAAGTTTACAGCCCACACGATAGAGCTGCCTAGTTAGCAGCTTTAACAAGCTAGTGCTGCTGGCCTGCAATCAGTGCCTTCTACTGCAGTCTCTCGTGTGGAGGATCCCTCCTCACCTGAGAAGCTGGAGCTCAGAACAATTGACTTCAAAGACTAAGGGCCTGATCCTGCACCACTGGAGTCAATGTGAGCTTTGTCATTGACCTCACTGCAAGATCAGGCTCCGAGACCCTGCGAGTACATTCAGGAACCGATACTTAGTGGAATCCCTTAATGCTACAGAAGATGGTGTGGGCCACTTTGAGGAAAAGGCTACAATGGACTTGCCATAGAGAAGGTCGGTTTGTACCAACACAGCACCAGTGCTGGGTCCTAGTGCTCAGGGGTCTTGGCCAACTCAGTTTTATGCCTTGAGGGTTTAGCCTGTGATGTGACACACCTTGACAGCCTTGTTTTGGACTTAAAGGAGTATCCCAGGGGTTTATCAAAGAGTGCTTGGAGTCATTCTGCACATTTCTTAAGTTCTTTGGATAATATTTGCAAGCAAATCTGTCACCCATGCACGTTGTGGTTAACGCCAAGATAGGTGGCACAAAGATTATCAGTCATCACAGACATTGGTTGTGTTTCACTCACATGAATTGCTACTGTGCAACCTTCCTTCCATTTTAGAAGTTACTTCCTGTGAAAAGGAAAAGGGTGTAGGCTCCTCCAGGGAAGCACCCACCATACCTAATAGACAAACTGCTACATTAAGTGGTGTCCCAAAGAAGCAGAAGAGTGAAGCAAATGTTAAATGCCAAGATGGAAGCCAAGCTGAAATGCAAAGTTTGGTGTTAAACTACTGAGAAACACTGGTGAGGTACTGCAGTAGCACTGAGTCACTAGAAGCATAGGCACTGAGATGCAAAGAAAAAAAAATGCAGCTGCACCAAAACAGCCATTGAGGTGCAGAGACAATATCAAGCACAAGAAACCAGGAGTGCCAGAGCTTCAAGCAGATGCCAGAGTCAGCCACCAGAGCAGTGAAAAAAACAACTGATGAACAGCAGCAAAAACGTATTGAAATGCTCAAGGCAAAGACCTTTGAAATTTAATCACTGAAAAAAGGGTAGAATCTGAGAAAAGGATATCCAGAGATATTGCTGGGATGTGAAGAAGAGCTGGAGCAACAGCCTTTGTGGTGTAGCTCCTGTGGAGAACTCTTTCACTAATGACAGTCAAAAAGATGCTGAGTGGAATACTTGGAAGTTTGCATTTATACTTGAAACAGTGTGGTGAGCGACGACAATCCATAAGAAGCGTTGCTCGTACTTCACTCTGCTGCTACTACTGCCCTTAAGGGTGGGAAAAAACCTTGATTTATTGGACTTTTGGTACATTGTTTCATGTATTAATAAACTGTTTTTACTTTGTTAAATGCAACTATTTAATTGTTGTAAATTGTGTTTTGAAAACAATGATTAAAATCAACATGGGATTTAATAGAAAATAAAACTAATATGTAGGTCTATACAGTGACTACATATACGCTGAAGAACTGAAGAAACAGCTGAGCTGTATGTTGCCTGAATAAATAAAGATTGCAGGTAGGCTCTTTAAATCAGTAAAGATGAAACACAGTTAGTAAAGTTTAGGGATGGCAGAATTCTGGCTTTAACATTACATTCACTTACATGGCTATGAAGAATAAATGCTACATGGCTGTGTCTGAGAGCGGGGGGGATCCCTACATAAAGTGGCATCTTCCATTTCATCTTTGCTGTAAAATACAAAAGACAGAAATCAAAAATAGAACATGTCTACTGTCAATGCGTTGACAAACGTGTCTTTGCAGTAAAATTAGGCCCTAGATAGTCTCAGTATTACACATGAAACATTTGCAACCCTAAGACATTTGTATAATTATAATTATACTATATTAATTATAATTAATTTACCTGCCAAGTAAAGAACAGCAATAGTGAAAGCCACAGGGAAAATGCAAACCAAAGAATTCTGGGCAATCCTCTAATGACAAAAGGAAAGGTTCTTTCAGACAGGTATCTTTCAGTCTTCCGAAGACTAATCACTGACCTCAGAAAGATCAAAATCACTAAAGCCAAACACATTCCAAAAAGAAATGTATACCCAAGTTATTGTCATAAAATAGATTTACTCAAAATAAGCAGCTAAGAAAAACATTCCAAGGATGGGAGATGATAGGGAAGTCTATTTGTAATGTCAAGGAGGATAATAATGTTAATGCAGTAAATCTGTTACATTTATATAATGGTTTTTAATCTCAAGTGATCCCAAAGTATTTTCCCACTTCCATATACAGGAATCTCTGCCCATCAGTGAAATGCAGCCATCTATGGAGTGAACATGGCATCTGTTTAGCTTCACACCGTGAACTCAATTCACTCCCCTGTGACAAAGAGGGCAGCTCTGCTGTAGAGAGACACACGCCAAGTGTTTGGAAGCTTTAAACGTTCATAATTGCTATCTGGATCTGGATCTCAAGGCCAAGCATGAGTTACAGGTGTCAATCGCACTTCCAGGTAGGCTTCCTGCCGCTAAAGGCTTTGTTTGCTGGAATAAGCTGATAGAAGTCAAAAATATCTCAGGATTGATTCAAGACCAGCAACTCTAAACAATAATTTAGGGCACAAGGGGACAGCCATAATAAAAAGTGATGATATGTATTGTCAAGCAAAAAGATATGTGGTAGGAGTGATTATATGTGACAAAGGACACAAAGAACACACAAGGTAGAAGTTGGATTCTGTGGCACTACTTGTGTTGTTACTCTGGTAGATCCAATAGAAAATTGTGTACAAACATTTCACAATATGGGGGTGTGCATGTACAATAAAGCACAGTGAGTGATCCCTGTCTGATCATGCTCTTTGCCATACAGCATTATGGCCAAGAAGGTAGAACTTCTGAAAAGAATAAATCAGCACCAGCAGATCACAGTTTAGTCTGCAGTACGTAATCATTAGATCATGTGGGTTTTGGAAGGAACTTCCTCCAGCAACTTTGTCAAAATTCATGTGGGTAAATTTTCATGCACAAGTGGCTTTTCAAGTTTTTGCAGTCTTCAGTGCAAATAATTTTCAGCCACCTGAAATTCTGGGGTGTGAAATCATGCAAAAAACCAACCAACCAACCAAAACCCGGTTAAAAAAAGTTGCATGAATTTTCTTGAAAATATTTCCAATAGTTCCCTGCTCCCCCTAATTCTCATCGACACTGTGGCTCCATAATAAATTACACTTATAAAGTTCCTTTTTACTTTGTGTCCTGCAGTGATTCACCTGAAAGAAGACACAGAAAAGTGATCCAATGTGATCCAGATTTAACTTTTTTAAAATGTCATTGAAACTATTTAATTTTAAATATACGTTTTTATTTTAAACCAGAAAAGTTGGTTAAAAAAGCTTCTCTGCAAAAAACATGGAAAAACTAAACGACAATGAATTTATGAACAGGTCTAACATTTTTCTTCTCTGTTTAAGGAAAACAGTTAGAAAAAAATCGGCTAAGCAGTTACTAACTGCTGCCCAACATGAGTACTGTACAACTCCACGGTATGGCCATTCTTTTTGCATGTCCACTGTTTAGAACAACAGGTGAAATCATATTTTAAATCTGACTTTCTTAAAGAATGGTGTTTTGCAGCCTTCCCAAATCACTGTAGGTCACATTGTGAACCTCCTGCTCCTGTTCTTGAATGGTTACTTGCCTACGTTGTCTCTATAGAACCACTTAGGTGAGTAACTGCTCACCAAAGGAAGGAAGGGGGAAGTTCAGAGGTTTGTATGATCAAAAGATAACAAAGGCAGCATTTTCTGCAATCTCTCAGGCAACAAAAAGTGTTGAATTAAAGTGGTTTACAGAGCTTGTCTAGAGAAACATTGCAACCTAACGTAAACCATAAAATGCCGCGCAGCCTTACATTACAGATTCCAGGCAAAGCTGGAAGGTGTGCTAATATCTTTAAGGGGATAGAGAATGGTGTTAGATTTGGAGCATATATGTGTGTATAAATATTATACAATGTTTAATTAAATCTTACAAATTTTCAAGAAATTGTTAAGTGATTGATCATATATTGACTACAGAGATGCACTTGTGCATTTGGATGTATTTTTATGTAGCTCCACACATACTGAAAGATGTACTCAGGTTCATTTTATTACAAGACTATGCCCTTGTGCAGCCATCTTGCTTTAGGATACTTCTGGATAGTATCTTGCTCTATTCAGTGATTTAAAAATTGTGCTGACAACCTTCCTTTTGCATTTTTACTCACCTAGGCTTAATTTCATGACATCATTCTTTGGTGTTTTATGACCATCTTTAGACTCATATATTCCTCCAAACAAATAGATATCCTGTTGGCAAGAACTGCAACTGTAATACAATATATATGACTCCGTACTCAAAGTATTATCTTATGGAAAGTCTCTTTCCCTGCAATTTAGCTGTATGCATCTAGAAAAACAATATGAAAACTCCCCTCTCCTCTCAACACACAATATCCCCTGTCCCACCCTGCAAAAAAAAAAAAAAAAAAAAAAGAGGGGGGGGGACCTAATAATTTATTAACTCTTATTACTAATGAAAAGAGAAGAGTAGACAATGTAATGAAATCTACTGGGGTCTCCCTATGTGGAAATAATTTACCTGGATTTACTGCTTGGTTATTACATTGATGAGGCTATAGAAAACTTTAAAATAGACAGATTCTTGGGCATTCTGAACATTTTCCATATATTAGTGAATGCAAAAATGCTGCAGTGTTTGCAAGTAAGAGGTGTTTCAGACTGCAGTGAAAAGGAAGAGAATCAGTACTGTCACTCCTCATCCAGGTTGTTGGATTCCCAGAAGGTAGCGCATAGAGCGGGGTTAGACTTTAGAAGAAAAAGATATGGCATTCAGCACTCCTTCAGCAACTCGTGCAGGCTGATATGCAGTGTGGCAACAGAGGAAACTATGAGACATAAGCAAGTCATGCAGGAAGTAATGATATTTTTAAAAGTGAGCACAGTGTTTGCATGAAAGTTATTTGCTACGCTTGACAGTATTGAAAACTGAACTCCTTCATTTATGTACTGCTAAAAAGCGCTTGCTGTGCTAGGAATCCACATTGCTCTGCCACTGGTCCTGAGCTCTGTGCTGGAAAGAATGCTGCAAGGATTGTGAGGTTTGTTCAGCCTCCTTGCTGTTGTATCAACCAGGCAAGGTACTAACAAGCTTCAATAGGACTTTATTTTCAAAGTGGAAACCCCTTTACCAAGCTGCTGCTGCATCCTCTGTAGCTTTCTCCCAGCCTCTCAACTCCTCCCCCATCCTTCCTGTTTCCTGTCCTTTCAGACTCCCAACAGACAGTGCTCCCAATTCTAATAATTACAAGCAACATCTAAACCCCACATTCCCTCCTCTCTTAAGAAACTCTCCCAATTAAAATAAACATTGTTGTTCTAACCACAGGAACAAATATGAAACAAGACACTGTACTGTTGGCAGAAATATTACACTGAAAACACTGTAGATACTACATAACGTAGTCTGTAGTCCAGACAGGTGGTCGTCTGGGTCTGACAGGCCGTCTCTCAAGCCCTGGTTCCAGTGCAATGTCTTGTTGTGTCGGTACTACAGTGAAGTCATCCAATGCAGACTGGGTGTTGGCATAATCTCCTCTTGGTGCATAGGCAGGTGCAAGATAAGAAGCTTTCCATACCCGCCCATCAGAAAGTCGATAGGTGTAAGGTCCCTTCTTCTCTATGATTTTAAGAGGAGCTGTGAATTTATGGTCCCCTTTGTGTAAAATTCCAGGTTTTCACATTCTAACAAAGGAATCACACTCAAACTTTGGTTCCTTAGCACCCCGCTGCTTGTCTGTGAAAGCCTTAGACTTTGCTTGGTTCTGTTCAACTGTTTTTCTCACATCATCCTTGTTTGGGGCACCTGGTTGTGCCTTTAAGAATCGAGCAATGTTCAGTTTAGTATTCATCTGTTTCCCATGCAGTAACTCTGCGGGTGATCTTTGCATTGTGGCATGTCGTGTAGCCTGGTATGCTTGCAAGAAATCAGTAGTGAGGGGTATCCACAATCGCCCTTCCAGTTTAGCCGTTTGCAAACTGTCTTTCAAACTTCTGTTAAACCGTTCGATTTCCCCATTGGCTTGAGGGTAATATAGGGATGAGCTTCTGTGCAAATTCAGTTCCTCTGTGCTAGAAAAGTTTCAAACTCCAGGGAAGTAAATTGACTACCATTATCTGAAACCAGTTCTTTGGGGTTATCTTCCCTGCTAAAAACTGAAGAGAGGAACTTAATTACTGTAGCAGAAGAGATTTGCCATGTAAACTACCTCAAACCGTTTACTGAAATAGTCTATTAAAGTGATGGAATAACGGCAGTCAATTGGAGCAGTATCAAAGGGTCCTACAATGTCAATTGCCACTTTTTCCCATGCAGATTCAGGAAGAGGAAGGCTGTAATGGAGGGGTACATGTCACTGCTGTCTTATCATGCATTTGGCAAGCGACACAGGATTTTATGAGTGCTTCAGTTTGAGAGTCCATCCCTGGCCACCAATACAGATCCCGTAGTCGTTGTTTGGTTCGGACAATTCCTTGATGAATATCGTGGGCCAGGTGTATGAGTTTTGATGGAATTCTTCTGGCACAAGGAGCTGGTGTGTACCTCGTAGCACACAGCCATCAAACAAAGAAAGTTCATCCCGAACCCTAAAATAAGGCAGCAAAACTG